AACAAAGTACAGAGTGTTTATAGAAACAGGAGATACTTAGTACCCTTTCACCGAACCTTGTCTTGCTACTATTGGTGATCATGCGAATTTCTCAGTTTTTGTTTGTTATCTTGATTTGTATCTCTTAATAGATTGCATTCTGCCTCAAATTTGCAAACTCTTCAACAGAACACCCAAATGCGTTTTAGATCATGTTAGCGTAAAACGTTGAAAAATCGGTTTATGTATCAATCATATAGTTATCTTTGTCCGTTTCTGTTCGATTTGTGTTTTTTTTTTTATGTCCCCTTCGTTGCATCCGTCTATTTTTTCATAAATTACATGTTTTTAGAAATAATGAGTTAGACTAGCACAATTTTTTAACGCTATAAAGATGACATTTTCTCGCTAATAATTCAAAGTTTGATGATTACTTTATAATATAAATATTACATATTTTTGCGTTTCCTGTCATAATTTTCATGATATAGGGGGGATGATTAAAAGGACGCGTTTAGACCAATGGTTTTAAATAGTAAATTAAATTCAATTCTTTTGAAGGTTTGGAGACGCCAGCAGGATGTGATTTCAGTTATTAAATAAATATGTCACAGATGACAACGGATATGTTAATCTGTCCTCTTCATAATTACAACTTCACTAGTAAACCAATTTTGATATGACACGGTCATTTTTTTGTTTTTTTTGTAAATGATCATTTAACTATATTGAATATTCGTAAGAGTGATAAGGGCGTCAGTAACAAGTTAACTGTTTCTATCTTTTACTGCATTATCTTCCTCTTAAACATGAGCCGCTACAGGTTGCAAAGCACACGGTATACAGCTTATATAGAAAAGAAAACTTTTGAAGAGATCATAACTTCTTAAACAATCAAAACAAAAAACGAGATGTGGTATGTTTGACGATGATACAACAATCCAATGTTTAACTCCGTGTTGACTCTGTGTGTGCTTGTCTTTAATCCTGTGGTTGTCGTTGATTCACGTCTGTTATACTTTTGTTTCATATAGTGTGTTATTATGAGTCATACTTTTAGTTTTTCTCGTTTGATTTGTGTCACATTTTTTATATCAGGACCTTGTATCGCTGACCATACGGTATGGATCTGTAAAAGTGTTAAAGGGCGTATAACAATCTGTAATTGCTCATATCAATGTCATTTGAATGTTGGTTGATAGTTGTCTCATTGGCAAGCAAACCACATCTACTTACTTTTATAAAGATGTGAGCAATTACTAGTCACCGTTTGCACTTCAAAAAAGGGCAAAAAATAACAATTCTGTATAGTAAGCTATAGAAGGTCACGACATGTAAGAATATGTCAAATAGAAAAAGATGGAACGTTTCGTGGACACCATCAAGATGTGTCCTCTTTTCTTCGTATTATTATTATTATTACTAGTACCAGTTTAATTTTCCATCAACAACACCACGGATGACACATTTAGATCTGGATCAGCTAAACCTTGCAGATTACCTGAGATCGTCAACTTATAATTTGTATTATCTCTTTGATGTCGTTTGCCTCCTTTTATATTACAACTACAAACGAATAAAAACAAAACAAAAAACATTGGATTAAAGGTTCCTATCTGGGTATATATAGGCACATATAAGTCAAAATATAAGTATCGACAGTATGTAGGACCATAAATGGTAAAACTTAGATAGAAAATATATGTTAGTTATGTGCTAAACTATCAAACATAAAGTCAAATTTAGTACCATAACAATACATGTCATCCCCAAACATCTTAATAAATATAATAGCTATCACGCAAAAACGTCCGAATGGTTTCTTTCACGCAATAAACAAACATACAGACCATTACCATTATCGTTACTAGATACGACAAGGTACATGGACATGAAATTGTGTACTCTTGAGATCAATTTGTATTTTCCGCAAAAGTTTATTGATAATAGCAACCACAGACAACAGATAAAAATTCAGTAAGCCAAGAATCATAACCTATTGAAAAGTATGTTTAAAGTCACAGAAGATACTTTTTATGGAATATGCCTTTCAATATTCAATATTCGAAGGTTGAATGCGATTGTGTAAGGCTAATGAAAAAATCAATATTCAAAACAATGTTTACATTAAAGAGACTCTGGTCTGCTAGTGCCTTACATAAATGATATTAGAATATTTTATCTTAAATCACATGTTTTCACAACCAAAGATGTGTAACACTACAAGCTGCACAGAATTAAATTGCAAGGACTCGGCATAATCTCAACAGTACTTTACTGTACTTAACTGTACTTGAATTTGGTCTCGACTTCACTTAATAAGTCTGATTGAGTACTTCATAATCTTGGTATAATATAAAATAAATTCTAGTCTGAATATGGTCTGCATATGGTCTCAACAAATGCTTGACTAGTCCCGACTAGTCTCGACCAGTCTTTACTCAGTCTCGACCATTCTAAACCGGTCCCAATCAATCTAAACATGTATCGACCAGTTTCGATCTGTCTCTGCTAGTCTCGACCTGTCTTGACTCAGTCTTCACCTTTAAATTTATTATCGACTGGTCCGTATCAGCCCATCTATCTCAACTATATATTGATCTTACAAAATTGCAGGTTATTTAGTAGTTTGGTTCATTGCTGTCAAATATAATGGTTTAGTAAATAGCTAAAAGAAATGGTAGAATTTTCATTTCGGACTAAATTCAGATAGTCATCTTTTATAAATTTCTATAACTTTTAAATCAATTTGGATTTTCATAGAGTGTGTTTATATTTAGTAGTTTGGTTCATTGCTGTCAAATTTAAGGATTTAATACTTTACTAAAAAAGACGACCTTTCATTTTGGACTAAATTCAGATAGCCATCTTTAAAAATTCTATAACTTTTTACAAATAAATTTGGATTTCCATAAACTATGGTCTTTTCAGACTCTGAGCAGTTTGTAGTGTATTTAAGAATGGAGATGTCGAACTTGCACGATATATTCCATTACAAATGAATACGTCAAACCTACATCAAATTTAATATGATCAAAGTTAAAACCCTGCTTTCCTAAAATTCGCAGTTTTTATGAGAGTTATATCTCCATCCGGTCGATGCGTTGGACAGTCAATGTCAACTCACCTCATCAATAGTCATTGTGTTATTGTGCTATGATAATTTTTTGTATTCTTGTCTTTCGTTTTTGATAATGTGCTTTGTCTATATACCTTTTTGTCTTTCTTTGTTGACATTTTTGTTTGTTTTTATAGTGATTAAGTTTATAACACAATGTTGACTGCTGTACCCCTATTTTTGACATTTTTACCTATTTTGTCTGTGTCTGTTTGTTTTGTTCACACAACGTTGTCGACATAATGCAATTTTGTGCGACTGTCATACAAGTGAGAGGTTTAGCTAGCTATAAAACCAGGTTTATTCCACCATTTTCTCCATAAGAAAATGCTTGTACCAAGTCAGGAATATGACAGTTGTAATCCATTCGGTTGATGTGTTTGAGCTATTGATTTTGCCTTTTGCTAAGGAACTTTCCGTTTAGAATTTTACTCGGAGTTCTGTATTTTTGTTATTTTACTTTGTGTTATTCAAAATAGAGAAAGGAATTGGGGAATGTGTCAAAGAGACAACAACCCGACCAAAAAGTAAAAAACACAGCTGAAGGCCACCAATGGGTCGTCAACACAGCGAGAACATCCCGCACCCGGAGGCGGACTTCAATTGGTCCCTATACAAAAATGTGTACTAGTTCCGTGAAAATGGACGTCATACTAACCCTCCTAAACATATAAATGAACTAAAATTAAAAAAACAAACAAGAGTAACAAAGGCCAGAGGCTCCTGACTTGGGACAGGCGCAAAAATGCGGTGGGGTTAAACATGTTTAGTGAGATATCAGCCCTCCCTTATACCTCTGGCCAATGTAGATTAAACAAATACGCAGCAATACGCACAGTAAAACTCAGTTTAAAAGAAGTCCGAGTCCGATGTCAGATGTCAGAATACGTAACAAAATAAACTAAGCAAAATGACAATGATACTTAAATTAACAAAGGACTACTAGCAGTTACTGACATGCCAGCTTCAGATCTCAATTAAACTGATTGAATGATTATGTCTTCATCATATGAAAATCAAGCACATTCCATTCCGTTAGGGGTTAAGTGTCATATCATCATTACATATATGAGAAGAACATAACCTGTATCATGCCGACAACTGGTTTTAGAATAAATGTATTTATTTCCGATGCAAAGACCCTATGAGTGAATCAATATTAATACAAAAATGTGCCATCTTTAATGACCTGACAACAGTATCGTAATTATATCCCTTCTTAATAAATCTGTTTAAAGGTTAGGTTAGCTTTTGAGGTGAATGCCGACATATTTGTGTTTTGTAAAGAATATTACCATAAAAGATTGGATGTGAAATACCCGAACGTATAAGATGTCTGCACGTTGATTTATATTTACGAATGTTATCCTTGTACCGATGATAAAATATAGTAAATGTTTAGACTAGTCAAAAACACTGTTGTAATAATTTTTCAGTAATACAGAGATCGCTTTCGTTAAAATCAAATACGTTGTTACATACACGAGCGAATCAAACAAGTAATTTTTTTTTTTGCATGGCAGTTTTGTATTTTTGATTGCTTTTATAGAATAAAGTATTGTCAAGTCTCTAACAATCATTATTATATGACATGAATATTAAACAAAATAGACCGTATTTTCTATCAATACTACTGATATTATCTCCTTGATCTATTGGTTTTCCTTGTATTTTTTCAGACTATGGATTATATAAACTTCACTTTACAGAGAATTATATTTTAAAGCTTTCACTTTCACTTTCACTTTTAACGCTTTTACATTCCTAGTAGGGCCAGATAATTAATATCCGTCTACACTATACATAATGCTGTAATATTAGGCATTGTGGTATGAATTCCAATGAGACAGCTATCAAACAGAAAAGACCAAATTAAAGGAATTTGATTTAAAAAAAATACAAGTTGGTTTGTTATTTGATTTATAAAAAGAATTAAAACAAAAAACTTTTAACCTCCCACTTGTGTCAATGAGCTCCCAACGTCAAATGTTTTCTGGTTTGACCTACGCGTCGACCTTCGCGATTCTTAAAATTATTCATGCATCTTGTTCGAATGTTTAGTGTCTTTCCTTACAGTGCTGTCGGCTATTGTTATTTTGTTCTTTTTGATTTTGGTCAAATCATTTGTATGAATTTTGTTTGCTTGGTATGCTAGGCTTTGGACAGTTGTTATTACTACATAATGATTTGTATATATTTGCACGGTAAGTCACATTATCTGTTTTGTTTTAAATAGAATCCTGAATAGCCTTTGTTCTACTTTTGTTATCTGGAGGTCTTTGGTCACGAAAGTTTTGCATAATTTTGACTCAAACGGAGATGCACTGCATATCGTTGCCTCTTCAAATTTCGATTTTATTCTTGGAAGCTGAAATCCTTAATCGGGTAATTGTGATTTAAAGTTCTTCATAATAGCATCATCATTGACAACACTAGATTTATCATATGGCGATTTTAAAGATGTTCGGGTGTTCAGCCTCAGTAACTGGCCATGGACTGTTACAGTAAGGATCTTGAATAACCCTATCCTACTTGTATAAGCATGCGGTTCTCGTAACGAAGTGTTGCTTAATGATGACTCAAAAGAAGATTTTCTGCTTGTCGTTATCACTTCTTTTAATTTTGGGTTTGCAGAACAATACATGATATATGATGATTTGTCTTTACTTTGACGTTCAGCTTCAGCAAATGTTTTGTTGGTCAAACACTATCAGTGACACAACTAAGCTCTGAATAATTGTTCTTTCCACGTAGTGATTTTAATATTCTTGGACGTTCAGCTTCAGTAAATGGTCTGTTACAGTATGAGTCTTGAAAAACCCCTGTTTTACTTTCATAAACTTGATGTCCTTTGACACATAACGAAGTTTTTCTTAAGGTTAACCCATTAAAAGAATCATTGCACATCGTTGCCTCTTCGTTGGATTTTGTTTTTACACTTGAAATGTCTATTTGTTGATTGGGTACTTGTGATTCCAAGTGGCTCGTAAAAGTATGACTACAGAAGAAAATTAGGTCTTGCAGAAAAAGACTTTCTGTATGATGATTTGTCTTTACTTTGGCGTTCAGCCTCAGTATTTATTTGGTTATAGGTAGAATCTTTAATATTCCCTGTATTACTTGTATAAACATGAGGTCTTTGAACAGCTAACGACGTTTTGCCTAAGTTTAACCCAAAAGAAGATGCACTGCGTGGCGTTGCTTCTCCTTTTGGTTTTCTTTCTATTCTTGAAAATTCAATCTCTTGATGGGGTTCTTGAGATTCCAAGTTGTTCGCAAGAGTATTATCACTGACGACATTAGGTCTTGCCGAAAGAAACTTTCTATATGGTGATTTGGTTTTACTTAGACGGTCATCCTCAGTAAATGTTTTGTTACGAGAAGAATCTGTAATAAACTCTGTCCTACTTGCATTATTATGAGGTCGTTGGAAAAGTAACGACGTTTTGCTTAAGGTTGACTCTGAAAAAGGTTTATTGCATATCGTTGTCTCTTCTTCAAATTTTGATTTTGTTTTTGAAAACTGAAATCCTTCATCGGGTACTTGAGATTTTAAGTTGGTCGTAAAATCATTATTAGTGACAAAAGTATGACTTAAAGGATGGTTCTTTTCAGGTAACATACTTTGACATTCACCCTCAGTAACTGGTCTATCATAGTGAGAACCGTAAATAACCCCATTCCTACTTTTATAATCATGAGGTCTTTGAACACTTAACGAATATTTGCTTACGGTTATCTCATGGGAAGAATCATTGCATGCCGTTGCCTCTTCCTTTGATTTTGTTTTTATACTTGAACGTTTCATTTCTTGATCGGGCACTTCAGATTCCAAGTTGCTCGTAAAAGCATTATCACAGATAAAATCAGGTCTTCCAAAAACAAACTTTCTATATGATGATTTGTCTTTACTTTGACGTTCATCCTCAGTAAATGTTTTGTTACAAGAAGAATCGTTAATAACCTCTGTTCTTCTTGTATCAGGATGAGGTCGGTGGACAGGTAACAACGGTTTGCTTAAGGTTGACTCAAAAGAAGATTTATTGTGTATCGTTGACTCTTCTTTGGATTGTGATTTTATAGTTGAAAGCTGAATTCCTGTTTTGAGTACTTGAGATTCCAAATGTTTCTTAAAAGTTTTATCAGTGGCAAAAGAAGGTCTGGAAGAATGGTTCTTTACATGTGGTGATTTTAATATATTTGGTAGGTAAACATCAGAAACTGTTCTGTTACAGAAAGCATCTTGATTAATCTCTATCCTTTTTTTAAAAGCATGAGGTCCTTGGACAAGTAACGAGGTTTTGTTTAAGGCTGACTCAAAAGAAGATTCACTGCATGTCGTTGTCTCTTCTTCTGATATTGGCCCCATTCGTGAAAGTTCAATGTTTCGATTTGGTACATGAGAGTCAAATGGGTGGTTAGAAAAGATATTTTCAGAGCCATAACTTGGCCTTGAAGAATTGTAGTCTCTATATCGTGATTTGTACATACTTGAACTTTCGGACAGAGTACCAGTTTTGAAACGGAAAGTATCAGACATATCTTCTGTCTTCATGGTATTAGCATGCGGTTCTTGTACACGTAACGAAGTTTTGCTTAAGGTTGACTCTAAAACAAAATTGCTACATAGTGTTGGCTCTTTATTAGATTTTGATGTACTTGATAAATGATTGTTATTGTCGTATACTGGGGATTCACAGGTTTTCAAAAAATCATTATCACAGCGAAAACTGGGCTTCGAAGAATAGTTATTACTATAGGATGATTTGTATTTACTTTGACGGTAAATATCAGCAACTGTTCTGTTAGATAATGAATCTTGAAAAATATTCGCATTATTTTCAAGAGCATTTAATGCAAATTCACTTACTGTATTTTCGTTCACTCCCTGAAACGTGTTTGGTTTCCATGATCTCCATGTTTTACCTCCGGGGTCTCTTCGAATCCTTATCGAAATGCCGTCATTTTTCGTTGTAAATTTTTTCCAATTGAAATCTGGCTGTGTAATTTGATTAATTTCAATGCCATCTAAAAATCCCAATTCTTCTGCTTTTCGAAAGACCCACAGTCTCCGATTGTCACTTGTGTAAAACTTTCCATTTATTTTTACAGCGGTAATAATTGGAATGTCCTTCAGTGAAATAGATTCAGTTAACAATTCATCTAACGTTTCCCCTATCAATTTATCATTGAAAGGTGTGTGTTTACCCCAATAATTTGCAATAGAATCCTGTGAAAAGAAAATTTCCGATGGTCTGAACTTCATTATTCCCGAACACGTCGACCACACCACACATGCGTTATACTTCCTTTCACTACTGCTAATTTTAGTTGCACATTTAGTATCGATATGTCTAGAACAGGGATTTTTTAAGTTATTTCAAAACGCTTCGGAGAAACCAATGATATGAATATTCGAAAAATCGATTATTCAATGTCCCATACAATATATCAATTTTATCTTGACACACACAAAGTGGTCGTTCTAATTATATGTGGATGACATATTTCTATGGAATAACCATCATTAGGTTCTCGTTAGTATATTGCATGTCAAAATCAGATAGTGTTATTTTATCTACATACAACATCCACGTTCTCATAACATGTAATGCAGTTTTAGAGTTTGCATAATATCTTTTGGTGTTGAAATACATAGCAACAGGATTAAAGTATAACAGTTGAAAAACTGCTAAACGAACTTCATAGCAAGATCTATATTTTAAAGTTTGATAAAAAGAACAGGTTTATGAAAAAGAATTATAGAAAATAATTAGAGATACGGGGTGAGTTAAATATCAACCTAACGATACAAAATAATAAAAGACAAATAGATGTCAATATGCGGCATTCAATCAGAGATATGTTAATGCCAACCCCACCCTTCATTTCATCCAACAATATTGAGCAGACAAAAAGAAGTCTAAAAATATTACAAATAAATATTACACACTTAAAATGTATTGGGTAACAAGGACACCACAAAACTAAAACTTAAAACAGTATATATTGCGTTAATTTCGTAAAGACATTTGATTTCATTAAAATCGTTTTTTTAAATCTACACTTAAAGGAAAAATTCTTGATTTTTTACTTATCATCTTCATATGTTCATTATCATAAATACCGTTTCGATTCCTAATATCACTGAAGAGACATTAATTGTCGAAATCCGGATATGGTGTACAAATTTTTGCACCCTATGTTTGCGGTATATCATCTTTTCCGCAAGTTTATTGTTTTCTATTTAGTATTAAATTTATAATTAAGATCCATTTATTACATCAGTGATCCTTTTATTTGGCAATCGCCAATGGCAGTCAGCAGGGTTTAAGAACATTTGTTGTTCGACCTGTTAGTCAAATGCGTTTTGTTAAAATATACCTTTTCACTTTTTTGGTCTTTTGGAAAATGTTGTTTGTGCTGTATTTAGACCCCTCTAACAAAAAATTTGTTTTGCATGCACACGTATAAAAATTGCGGTTTTTATCCAACGCAATCATAGGTTTGAACGTTGTTTTCAATTTAGACTTGTTTATATATATATATATATATATTTCGAAAAACGGAATCCATCCCCAGAAGCAGTCTGCTAACTTACAAAGAAAAACAGAAAAGTAAAAGAATCCCATGTGTGCTCACCTGCCATCCACGCCTGAGAAATAGTTTCAAGACCATTCGTGATCATTGGACAGCAATCGAGAAACATTCTAAGTTATCCAAAATCTTTCCTGAGCCGCCCATGATTGCCTTCAAACAACCTAACAGCCTGAGAAATATAATTGTCCGTGCTGACCTTTCCAAACCTAACCATACTGTAGGTAATTGCCAGCCTTGTGGGGATAAGCGCTGCAAATGTTGCAACCAATTGCAGCATTCATCAACATTTCACAGTAAGACCACAGAAAAGACATACAAGATCTTCTGCAATGTCAACTGCAAAAGCTCAAACGTGATTTACGTTCTTGAGTGTCCTATATGTGGTCTCCAATATGTTGGTGAATATATGCAGCCATTTCACAAACGCCTTAATGGCCACAGGAGTGACCTCACAAAAAAACCGTATATTCCTGTCAGCCAACACTTCAGGTTACCAGATCACAATCTGAAAGATTTTGATCACATGAAGATCCTTGTGATCAAACAGGATTGTACATGGCAAAATAGGCAAAGAGAGAATCGGGAGAAGTTTTGGATAAAAACACTGGGTGTCCTCCATCCAGATGGAATCAATAGAAAGAAATAATTAAATTTACAGTCTAATGTTTATATTATGATATTCAGGATTTTGGATTAAAATCAATCGACCAAAACTTACCTGTATTATTATTGATCTATGTTTACACCTTATACATTATATATCAGTATTGTTAAAACTTTTAACACTGAGGAAGGCCATTTGTTGAGCCGAAATATTTGCAATTATTGTATAATTTATATCATCTGTTCAGTTTTTCCATCTTTGTGCGATGATATTCAACACTTTTTAGTGTTTTGTTTTCCATCTATTTATCGGTATTGTTACACAATCTTTTAGACTCATATATATATATATGTATATATATATATATATATATAAACAAATTAACAAAGTTTTAAAATTGTATTCCCTTGATTAACAGAGCAAATCGAATATTTCTAACTTTTTTGTTTGACATACGTCATCGGGTTACGACGTTTTAGTCCGATTCCGATCCGGATAGGAAATTGAAATCAGTTGAAGTCTTATTCTCCTCTCCAATTTTTCGGTAATTAAACGCGCGCAGATGACCGTTTGTCGAAGCTTATAACCACAAGATCAGAATGAAAGAAAACTAACACACGTGTTACGTTTTACATTGATTAAATAAAAAATCCTATAGTTTCGGTATATATTTTCGATCAAATTTTATTTATTAATCGTTTCGATGTTTTTACTGAAATATTCATTGAACACAAATTATTTACTGATATTGAACTGAACATATGTTCGTTTTTAATTTATAATAATTTTGACATTCATTTCAACGCAAAGTCTGTGTGAATAGAATTTTCTATTCTTTCGGAAAGGCATTGTTTATTTCTCGAATAGATGAGCAAGTTGTAACATTCCTTTGAACTTTACCTGAGAGCAGTTTAGCATCAAGCGTATACTGTTACAGATGTGAATGTTGTAATTTTGAATGTATTTATTATATAAAATAAAGAGAATGGCGAGTTTTATGCACCAAGATTAAATATCTGATGACACAGAAAAAAATGATTGTATTAATTCATTGAAAATAAAATTAAAATATTTGCGACAATGGTAGCCTTTTTTGGTCCTGTGTTTTCACTATCAAAGATCCATTGAAAAAAATGTCGAATTCTGAATTATCAACACCTTTGGGTGTAATTGAAACTGCAAAACACATATGGTGCCGCAGCTTTTTTGATAGAAAAATGCAATTTTTTAAGGGTACTCAACGGTTCCGGAATTTTCGAAATAGTATAAATGAAGAACACTCTTTGCTAAATTTGGCACAGAAAATGTTGCTCGTCACAGAGAGTTTCCTCTAAATTTCTCGCTATTTCTGCACCAATGGCCAACACTCATTTCTCACTATTTCAATTTTGATTTTTAATTACCAGGGCAGCAGAAAATAAATTTACTTCTACCTATTATCTTGGATGTGAAATCTAGGTGGCGCCGGTCATCTTTATTTACTTCCTTTTAACCACATGTATGCAATTAACGCAATTATTAAAATAGGAAAAAGAAAAGAAAAATACTTTTAATGCTATATTTTTCCAAAATTAATAGAGAAATACCATTGCATATGTGTATAATTTAGTTTACCGGAGGTCTTTAGCTTGTATCTAAATCTGTGGATGTCAACGTACAAAAATCAAATAGCAATCACCTGGAAATAATTTCTCGGGAGCATAATTTTTTTAAATAGAATGCCAATAATCAGTTTTGACATTATATGATTAACATTCATGAGAAATTAGAGCTCATTAATTTTTTTTTTCATTTGAGGATTTGTTTTCACAAGTTAATTCGAGATCAAAGGAGACTATTTTTCCTCACCAACTAAACTTTTATTCACATATTTGTTTTCTTATAAAAAGAGCGTGTTCGTGTTTATATGACTGAATGGTATACTTAGCCATTCGGTTTTATTCGGTTTGGTGGGTGTAAATTGAAATTGTTAATCGAAAAATGATACCTGTTTTATGCAAACCGAAGGATTTTAGGGATTCTGTAGTATCAATGTTTCGTTGTCATATCTCTTGTCAAGATAGGTTAATGTCTGCATGTTATAATATGCCATGCGTTAATTAATTGGGATAATCTGGTCTCTGTTGCATAGTTTGCAATTATAGCCCCATCTTTTTATTCAAGAAAAGTCGTAAATTTTGAATATTCTGTGATCAATTAATGCAGCTTGATCGAAACGTAGATTCACTCAGAAACCGATTGTTCTCTTTTCTTCTAATCCATAAATGAACTGCTGAAGTCAGGAATTTGAAATATGACAGTTATGTGTTATGTTCAGTTTGCATTTATTCGAAGCATTATGGAACTATGTCAGCGTAATTGACTTTCATCTTTAGGATTCCTCTGGCTTTTATATAAAAGAAATAACATAGGATTAACTTGGAGTGTATCTAATTCAATTCCCCTATATTAACTTGTTTCATAAACTATGTAAACATAAACCGTTTAAAAACTACAGACCATAGTTAATTAAAAAAAAATAGATATCCAATCGGCAGACTTCTCCGACTCTTAAACCCATTTTAATCATTTTCTGTATCAAGTTATTCAAAGAAAGGTTTGCCGATTCAGTAGTACAACCATGTCTGGTATAATTTTTTTTAGGAGCCGTGAAACTATAAAATTGAGAATAGAAATGAGGAATGTGTTAAAGAGACTACAACCCGACCAAAGGGCAGAAAACAGCCGAAGGCCACCAATGGGTCTTCAGCACAGTTAGAAAATCCCGCACCCGGAGGCAGGCTTCAGCTGGCCCTTAAACAAAATGTGTACTAGTCCAGTGAAAATGGACGTCACACTAAACTCCAAAACATATAAATGAACTACAATTTAAACAAAACACATACAAGAGGCTCCTGACTTGGGACAGGCGCAAAAATGCGGCGGGGTTAAACATGTTTTGTGAAATCTCAACCCTCCCCTTTACCTCTAGCAAATATAGAATAAACAAACACACAGCAATACGCACAGTAAAACTCAGTTCAAAAGAAGTCCGAGTTCAATGACAGAATAGATAACAAAAGAAACTAAGCAAAATGACAATGATACATAAATCAACAAGGCACTACTAGCAGTTACTGACATGCAAGCTCCAGAACTCAATTAAACT